ACCCCTCCCACCCCTCCCTCCCTCCCTCCCTCCCTCCCTCCCTGTGTCTCTACAGCCAGCCCCTTTCCATCCGGTCGCTACACATTTCCCTCTCTCTCTCCTCTCCGTCAGTGCCTGAGCAGTTCATGCAGCGTGAAGCTCAGCCCCACCGACAGCGGCCCCTTGATCCAGTTCAGCGTCACCCCGTTGTAGAAGCCACGGATGCCCTGCGTCCGCCAGATGTCGCTCACCACCCACCAGACACCCTGAGCAGTCGCACGGCCGATCGAGCCCAGCGTGGCGTGCGGCAGGGGCTCGGGCAGCGGCTGGGAGGAATGGGGCTTGGCATGGTGACGCTCGGCCGCTCGCAACTCCTGCATAGACACACAGAGAGCACGTGGCATGGATGGACGGATGGGGCCGATGCGCCAGACATCCGGCTGCTGATTGACTACCTTGATGTGGTTGAGGAATATGTCCGCCTGCAGCCTTTTCCGCACTGTGTCGATTGGATAGGTGGCCGTCTGTGAGACCAACCCGGCCGTGCCGCCGCAGAGCAGATTCAACCAGGGGGGCAGCTTCTGGGGCGTCGTGAGGGCGGGAGCAGACGAGGATGTGTCGCTGTCTGATGGCTGGGGCCGACGAATGCGCTGCAGAAGGATAGCAGGCATGACGGCGTGCAGTTGTGAACGTGACCATTACCCAGGTGTGAATCGTGTGTGTCAAAGTACGCACCGCAGCCACCTACCTGTCTTTGTTTCTGCATGGTGTGCTTGAGGCTCTCGAAGGTGTAGAAGGATATTGCCGAGTAGGGGAAGATGCCCAAGACAGTCGGCAATAGGCCCCTGGTCAAGCTGATCAGGCCCTCGCGCTTCCACAACGTCACCTGATAGCCAACAGCATAGGCATCGGTTACGTGTGCAGCTGGCACTTTGTCGGCCAGTACAGTACATGTCTGTCGCTCACTGACCTCCTTGTATTCCTTGACTGATCTGGACACCGCCATCCGTGTGTTCCACAGGTCCAGCGGGTAGGTGATCACCACTGACGTCATACCTACACACACACACACAGGGCAGGCAACCGACAGCATCCAGCACAGTACAGCACAGCACACGCGTGTGTGTGTGTGTGTGTGTGTGTGTGTGCACCCCCACCCACCAGCGCATCCCCCTGCCACCAGTCGGTTGAAGTCAGAGGGGCACGCCTTCTGCAGGGCGTCGTGGTAGATGTCATAAGTGTAGAACACTATGCCCGCGTGCGGGAAGGTCCGTGCGAACGACGCCAGGTTGCCCTTCCACAAAGCAAACAAGCCCTCCTTCCTCACAATGCCTCCCAAATCACGAAAGATGGCACGCAAACGAAACTGACCGACAGTGTCCTCACGCCCACCACGGACCTGCGACCACAAGGGGAGGGAGGGAGGGAGGGGACACAGACACAACAAACACCACCTGTTCACCTCATTCTCACGTGTGTGGCGCGGGCGGTGTTCCTGAGCGGACCTGGTAGATCATTTTGACCCTATCGAGAGGGTAGATGATGGTCTTGGCTGTAGCACCCGCCATCGAGCCGCTCAGGAAGTTCCAAGGATGGAACCGGGAGCGCAGCGACGGTCCGGGCGCCTCCTCAGGCGAGTGAAGCTCGCCCGGGCTTGTCACGGGCTCCTCCGGATGGGCAGAAGCCACCGATGAGACCGACGGTGAATCATCGTCGTCAGGCTGGACTCGACGGCGGAAATCGATTGCTTGTGGCGGCTGGAGGCTGAGTGTCGGCTGACTGGCGGCCATGAATGGCGCCGACGACTGAGCCTTCGCGAGATAACAAGCGAGAGTGTAAGCTAGCTGCCGAGAAAGGCGCTGAGCTGGCTGAGCGAGTACAGAGAGCCTCTCACCGGCAGGATAATTCGCCTGCGAGAGGACGCCTCTCTTCCTTCACCAAAGAAGCTCGCAGTCGATCAGACTTCAATATATTTCCCGCCGCTGTGGCCGCTGAGACATAGTCCCTTCCAACAGGACGTGACGGACAAAGACGGGGGGAGGGGAAAACGGGGAAAAAAGAGCGAGGAGAAGAGGAACAGTTCGGATCGATGCGAGCTTAGCGCAAAAATGACCGAATTTGGGCGAATTTCATCATCTTACGACGTAAGGAGCGGCACACACAGACACGCACGTGTAAGGAAGACTCAAAAGAGAGCCAAAATTGTGTTTCCCCGAGTCATGCTGAGCAGAGGCAGTCAGCGACACTGTGACAGATCTGTGTGACGTCTGTTGGATGTGATCTAGCCTGTGACGACCTGTGTGTGCGTGTTTCCACCCGTTCTGCTTGCCTGTATGTGTGCGTGTGTCAGGCTCGCCCTGACCAACGCGGTTTGACGAGTCAGTGACGACCTTTCCAGCTCCTTCGCCGCCGTTTCAAGGTGAGTTCACCGGTAGGCATCACCCGGTGGGCAGACTCAGGCAGTCAGTGCCGAGAAAAGTGAATGTGTTACCGACGCGTCCGGCCGATCGACCTTGCCTCGTCTGAGCCTTTCCCATGAGCCAGGGGTTCCAGGCAGGCAGGCAGGCAGGCAGGTTGATGCTCGTGTAGGCCGTTGTGACAGGTAGAGGTCGGTTGTGGCGCGGTTTGAGTGAAGCGGGGCTCATGCCAGGCAGAGTCAGTGCAGTTCAGGGAGGGCGGTGGTGCGGTGCCTTTTGAGCCGTGTCATCAGGTGTTCGTTCGTGTGCGTTGCAATTGACACACACGGCTCATGCGTCTGTTCTCACTTTTGTCCTGTCTGTTTGTGTGTTGTGTTGTCTGTCAGGCTGGCCCCAACCGAGGGCAATGAATGAGTCGATGCTGGGAGGTGGCGCATCGTCGTCAGCAGCAGCTGCTGCTGCTGCAGCTGCAGCTGCGCCAGGACCTGCCATGCCAGTGCCACCGCCCGCACAGCGGCGAAACCGTTCCCGCCCCGCCCCGCCGCCTCTACTGACGGATGACCTGCCGGACGATCTCATGGCTCTGCCACCCTTCCCCCACGCCCCACCGCCACGCATCCCATTCCCACTCGGCCATGGGCTCGACCACCACCCTTTTGACCTCGAGCAGCCCTTCGAGAGGGAGAGGGAGAGGGACAGGAATGCCGGTGGGGGTGCGGCAGCAGGGGCCAACAACAAGGACAAGCCCATCAAGAAGCGGAACATCAAGAAGCAGAACAAGGACGAGCCCATCAGGGTGAACTGGGCCAAGATGGATCATATGTACTACCAGAAGCTTCTCGTCCTTGATCCTGCGAGTGGTGGTGCTAGTGCGGCGAGTGCGGCGGCGGCGGATGTCAACGGGACGGCGGAGCAGCGGTTCCTGGTCAACACGAATTTGGGAGGGGGAGGGCGGAAGGGACAAGGTCTCCCGACCAAGGAGGACTTTGAGGGCACCATCCGCTTCCTGCAGGAGACCAGCCCCATGCCTGATGTGAAGGAGTTTGCGAACCCCCACTATGAAGACGCCCAGAACGCCCTCAGGCCGTTCCAGCAGGTGGGTGGGGGTGGGTGACACACTAACCAACACCAGCACAGAAGGACACAGAGGCATTAGTATACGAGTATCTTCTCTCTGTGTGTGTTTGTCTGATCTCTCTCTCTCTCTCTCCCTCTCACAGCGATACCACCACATATGGCAGCGGCCCCAGATTTCCCCTCCACCCTCCCCTCGACCCTCACCCCCAGGCCTCTCACCCAACCGCCCTCGCCGCGGCGGCTCCCCGCCCGCCTGCCATGCAAGAAACGTGCCCCCCATCCCCAGATGGCCGTGGTGGCCACATACGACCCCCGCGGTACGGCTGCGTGGCTTGTCTATGACGCCGTGGAGCAGCCGCCGCCCGACCCGGCCAAGGAGAAGGAGATCAACGAGGTGATCGACTCCCTGTGGTATGAGCAAGCCCAGCGCAAGGTGGTCAAGGTGGACGCGCCGCCCGAGGTGGCAGAGTGGGCGGAGCAGCAATCGCAGGGGAGGGGCAGGTCGCCGACACGCGGCAGGAAGGGCTCGCCGAGGGGGAGGAAGGGTAAGGGCGGTCGTGGTGGGAGGGGAGGGGGGAGGCCCCCTGAGCCCCCCGAGGCCGATGACTCGCCATCCCGCTTCATCGGCCAGTGTGCGGAAGTCGACGTGGTGCCGTCGGCTGATGGTCTGCCACAGCCCTCCCAACAGCCCCACCCGCCCCGCATTCCCTCTGCCCCATTCTCTGAGTCACTCAC